CCTGCGCGGCGGCGGCCGCCTCTGCCTGCCCCGCGGCCCCGCGCGCGCGTCCTGCGTCCAGCTGCGCGTCGTGCTGCGCGCCCGCCTGGCCGCCGCGCCCACGCTCGTGCACCTGCGGCTGTCCGCGCGCCACGGCCGCCTGGCCCTGCTGTGGCGCACCCCGCTGCGGCGCGCGCTCGGGCGCCCGGAGTGGACCTTCCGGCTCGTGCGGGTCCCGCCGGCCAACCTGCGGCGCCCCCGCCGCGCCGCCTCCGACCTGCCCGCGGATGGCCCTCGCCCCTACGCGGGCTTCGTGGCCCAAACCAAGTGTCCCACGGACGGGCCCACGCCTGTGGTTTTGGAAGCTGTCAACTCGGACGGTCCTCAAGCCATCGAGTCTTCGGTGTCCTGCCAGGTATCCGATGAGGCGACCTGTGAGGTGACCATGGTAAAGATCAATAGGAACAAAGAGGGTGTTCCCGTGGTGTTGACCAGGAAGATGGGGGATACCTTCAATGCAAGCTTTACGTTTAATTGCGAGAACGCATCCTTAGTTGTTCCACAGTGGCAAGTCTTTTCCGTGCCCTCCATAAATGCTGTGCCGGACTGGAATGCACCTTTGGATAGACCAAACGTCCATTTAGGGAAAACTCCAGCAGTTGTGTATATCCCCCCAAATTCTTTATCTTGGGGCGTGTATGTGTTTAGATTCACAGTCAAAATCTTCAAAGGAAAAAAAAAGACACTTAAGGCAAGAGGCTCAGATTTCATCTACGTCACCATCCTTAGAAGTGACCTAAACGCAGTTATTCCTGGGGGTCCTAACATAACAATTAATTTCACAGATAGGCTGATTCTGGATGGAACGAATTCCTCGGATCCAGATTCAGACAACCCTTCAGAGGGACTCCTTTTCTCCTGGTACTGTACCACAGATCCAAAAAACTACCAGGGAGCTAAAATTACAGTGATGAGCAACAGCGTCTGTCACCGGAAGCAAACTGATCTGAACTGGAAATGGGCCTCTGGCCCCGTCCTAACACTTTCACCAGGAATACTTAAAGGTGGAGGTGTGTATTTTTTCAGAATGGTGATCCGGAAGGGTGGTAGGACAGCGTATAATGATAAAATGGTACACGTGCTCAAAGGACCACACTCCGCAGCAAACATTTCCTGTATTGAAAATTGTGGCGCCGTTTTGGTTATTTCAGACAGATTTTCTTTGTTTCTAAATTGCACAAACTGTTCAACGAAGCGGGATGTCTATAAATGGTCGATTCTGTCCTCTTCAGGTGATGAGATAACATTTGAT